AGATGGTGGCCGGAGTTCAGTGGAGGCCGGAAATAGGATGAGTCGGCCATGGGTTTATGCAATTTTCAAATCCGAGAAGCCTAGGGAGTTCTTTCGTAGAAGTCCTAGTTTGGGGAGAAGCTATTTAGAGATTTTTCACTGAAGTATTTTTGCTTTCGATCTGTTTTAATTTTATTCTTTTTCCAAAAAGTGTCGCTTTTTTTTTCTTTTCCTTTTATTTTATGGACTGCCGCTTTAATTCCTCTGAAAGGCGCCGAGGCGCGCCTCTCGCCACGCGAAAAGGCGAGCCAAGGCGACCTGAAGCGAGCGCCTCGCGAACAGGGTCGCCTCAGGCAGTGGCGAGGCGAAGTGGCCCTCGCCTCGGTCGCCTCGCCTTGAGGCGTCGCCATGGCGTCGCCATTTTAAACTATGTTCTATGTGAATAATCATTAGTTATCTTTTGTCTGCAATTAATGTGTGGAAATAGGTGTGATGTGATTCTTGAGGGCAAATTTTCATCCTCTTGAGAACAAAGTGACTGCTATTAGTAGTTGTATTCAATATCAGAGATTTCTCCCAATTTACTTGATTAGCAGCTGAGTTTTGGGTTGTTTGTTGTCCCAGGTCACCATTGATGTCAATAGTCCTGAAGCTGGAGTCATCCAGAAGGTACAATTTCACAAATCAGACTAGTCGTCATGTTACTCGTGCATTCATTTTCTAATCACTTATTGGGCTAACATTGTTTTTATTTTTGTATGAAAATTCATAGTTTATAGCGAATGAGGGAGACACTGTAGAGCCTGGTACCAAGGTTGCTATCATATCAAGATCTGGTGAAGGTGTAACACATGTTGCACCTTCTGATGAAAAACCATCTGGAAAAGCTCCTCAACCACCATCTTCCACTGAAGAGAAAAAGGAGAAACCAGTGGCTAAAGTCGAAGCAATCCCCATCGTAGAGAAACCTAAAGGGACCCCTCCCCCTTCTCCAAAAACCTCAGCCACAGAACCCCAGCTGCCTCCTAAAGAAAGGGAAAGACGAGTGAGTCTGAGCTCTTAGGTAGTGACCCTTGAATCGTCATTATCGATGGTGTGCTTGTAACATGAGGATCTGCTTCCATTGACAGGTGCCTATGACAAGGCTTAGGAAAAGGGTTGCGACACGCTTGAAGGATTCTCAGAACACATTTGCGTTGCTGACAACATTTAATGAAGTTGACATGTAAGTTTATTCCTGTATTATAGTTTTTTTTGTAAGTTGACAACATTTCATGAAGTAACGGGTACGTTTGTAGTATTGTAACTTGGAAACATTTAATGAAGACAAGAAGTTGACATATGCGTTAACTCCTGTATGAAGGGGGTGACGTATCTGTGCCACGCCAAGTAATAGTTAATATATTTCTGCCAAAAAACTTAAACATAAATACTTTTCTGGATTTATTGAGGCTGCTGTTGCCAACGGTCCCTAGAGATGCTTATTTTATGTTTCTCCATCATTTTACAGAGTATCAGGTGTTAGATGTTATTAGGTTGTTTTCCAGGAGTGTAGCTTAGTTTGATTACTTGGACATCGTTTATTTGTTCCAGGTGTATGCTTATCATTTCTGTTTCACTAAGTGCTTTCTTCTTGTGAAGGCATATTAGAGTGTTATTCAATATTAGAGACTTAAAAGTACTTTCATTGTTTATGTGTGACAGTGAGAACTTTTAACAGCTGCAATTTCTTGTTGCAGGACTAATTTAATGAAACTTCGCGCTGATTACAAGGACACATTTTTTGAAAAGCATGGAGTGAAACTGGGACTGATGTCTGGATTCGTGAAGGTATGCCCGCACACTAAATTTTTCCACTTTTATTCCATGTATGCATCTTGTTAACTGAACTTGTTTTCTCTGATTTTCAGGCAGCCATTAGTGCTCTACAGAAGCAGCCAATAGTGAATGCTGTTATTGATGGCGATGACATAATTTACAGAGACTATGTAGACATTAGCATCGCTGTTGGTACCCCTAAGGCAAGTTGTCCACCATATACCTTTTAAGTGTTGCTGAAAATTGATGTAGGATATTCAAAGATATTGCTCATATCAATCATATCTTTCACAGAGCATTTCAAGTTGTGAATTTGAGTCTAGATTAATGATTAACTTGTGTTGCATGCATATTTTTGTGTTACTTTTAACAAGATAAGATAAGATGAATGGTGAATTATATTTATTTTCATGTAGCATAAATGTTATATTTTTTCCTTTTAACCCAGTATCCATCTATACATGATACTCAATTCCTTTTTTCTGAACAAGCTTTGTATTTTTTATTAGGGTCTCGTTGTTCCGGTTCTCCGTAATGCTGAGAGGATGAATTTTGCCGAGGTTGAGAAGGAGATCAACACCCTTGCTAGGAAGGCCAATGACGGCACTATCTCCATTGATGAGATGGCTGGGGGAACATTTACCATATCTAATGGTGGTGTTTACGGAAGTCTTTTGAGTACTCCAATCATCAATCCTCCCCAGGTTCCTTCATTTCCCCTAGCATATTTTTTTTTTTTTTCATATTTATATAACCAATACCCCTAGTGGTACAACACTTATGTATGACACGGGTGTTAATTAAACAATTTATAAATTTTATTACTTTATAAAAACTAGCTTTACTATATTATTTGATTTATATTACTATATTATTTGATTTATATTTACAGAAATTGATACATTTTTTGTATATGTAATATGGATGTCGAATGGAAGATTGTCAAAAGACGATTAATTTTATATATATTATATATAAGAAAAATAATAACAAATAAAGAAGTTACTAAATTTTAAAATATATTTATGATTTAAGTTGATCAAGTGTGATATAATTTTGAAAGTCCTAAGACATGGAGGATGAAAGCCCAGATATACATGGATTACTCTGTACCAAACATAATTTGACACATAGGATTATGAAACACCAATTTGCATCTATATATAGGGAGGGATATGCATTTATACTTGTGAATCATTATCTAATTCTTGATTTCTCTTGCGATATTGTAGTCCGCTATACTAGGAATGCACTCAATCGTGAACCGGCCAATGGTGGTTGGTGGTAACGTAGTTGCGAGACCCATGATGTACATTGCTTTGACTTACGACCATCGGCTGATTGACGGCAGAGAGGCTGTGTTCTTCTTGAGAAGGATCAAGGACGTGGTGGAAGATCCTCGTAGGTTGCTCTTGGATGTCTGAATATATATGCTCCAGCTGAAAATGGTATGATTACAATTTGCATTTGGTTGATATGACTGAGTTTTTTGACGACACCCCCTGAGATTCAAGGGTGTTGGAATAAATGCACACAATTAACTGAAAGTTTTGCGGAATTTATTTTTCGGCCTTCCTCTTTTGGGCTGCAAGTCATGTTTCCTTCTTGTGTCCGGCTTTCGAATGAGATTGTTTGAACACAACCAACGTTTTGATTTTCTTTTCCAGAACAAGTGACATGTAATTTTTTCTAGCGTGACTGCTTTGGGATTACTCGAAGAAAGGTTTACGTGTTTCATTCAAGTGCATTATTCAATTTTTTTTTAGACGTACTTGCATTGCATTCCCAAGCAGATGAACTGAAAAACCGAAAAACTCTGCCTCATTAATTGTTTTCTATGTATGGCACTTTTAGATAACTACAGTTATAGACCAAATGCAAATATAGGGGTTTCTCTCTAAGAGCATCTTCAAGAGACTTCTTATTTTAGACTTCTTATTTGGAGAAATAAGGAGTCATCTATATCCATTTGCTTCCTATTTTCTGTTGTTCTCCAAGAGTCTCCCTATTTTATAATTTGAATATGAACCAGACCCACAAATCTATCTAAAAGCCCACTTGAAACGATTATAATAGTAATTAACTAATTTTATAATATTCACTAATTTTTTTAATTATTATAATTAGTAATTTATTATTAATTATTTTTTATAATTTTTCCTTTATTAATATAATATTATTTCTTTTTAGATTATTATTATTATTATACTAATTGTTATTATAATTTATTAATTTTAATCAAATAAATTATTTTTTTGAACAATTTTTATTTTTTTAATTTTTTAATTTTAATTATTATTATTAGTAATTTATTACTAATTATTTGTTATATTTTTTCATGTATTAATATAATATTATTTCTTTTTAAATTATTATTATTATTATTATTATTATTATTATTATTATTATTATTATTATTATTTTTATTATTTGAAATGGGGGGTCGTTTTCCCCTCCCAGAAATGAGGAAGAGAAGCCTCTATTTGAGGTCACCCTAAAAATAGGACCAAGTTTAGGGGAACTGTTGGAGACAGTTTTTGAGAGAAAATCCCAATTTTGAGATAAAAAAGAGAAATAGGGAGGCTCTTGGAGATGCTCTAATGTCATCTTTAACTATCAAACCCCTTAAACCTCTCAGTTTTCACTACATCACGGCATTCAAAACCTCAATCTTATGCTTACATTTAAACAATAAACCTCACATAGTTTTTATGATTACACATATTTTTATTTACTTTTTCATTCTATTTTAGCTTCCATAAAGGAAAAAAAAAAAAAAAAGAAATAAAGACAGTGGGAGATAAGTGCATTATTAATTACTGAACCTAGTGAAAAAAATATGACTAAAAAAGCGAGTGGATGTTGTTTCCTCAAGAACAATGTTTATATTTAGGAAAATGTTACAAGTACATAATAAATGTAAATGTACATAGAGGTGTATTTAACACTCACATGGAGTGAGTTCCACTTAATTTTTATTTTTGGTCGGTTCCACTCGATGTGGGTGTTATGTACACCTCTATGTACAATATTATGTACTTATAGAATTACTCCTATATTTATAATGCTAAACTACAAATTTTGTGTTTTCGAACTTCTTCAAAACCTATTATTAAAAAGTTATATCTAAGAATTTGGCGAAATTTTATGTATACGGTACGATTTGAAAAAAATTGTAAAAATGCCATGATCTTTTATTGCATCCCTACCTAATCGTTGGGAATTAATTGAATAAATGTTAAGATTTCAGTTACTAAAAATTGAAAAAATATAACGCATCATTGATTTGTGGATTTTCATGATTTATGGATTTGCATAAAAAAAAAACTAAAAATACACATGGTAAGTGAATAAGTCCTAACAATTAGGAGTTCGTTTAATTGATATAAGAAACATAAGGAAATTGAATTTCAAACGACCTTTGCTTATAACTATTTACAAATCCCAGAATCCTGAATCCCTCATAGTCAATACACTTTCGCTATGTCATGAAGTTAACTAGATAAACTCCAGCGTTTTTAAAAGCTCATATTGCCTAATCAAATTTGTTTTGATAAAAGAAATTTATAAGTTAACTAAATATGTTATAAGTTAACTAAATATGGTGCTTACCGAACGCTCCTTTCTTTCATGAGGAGAAAAGCTCTTCAAAGCAATTGTATTAGCACTAATTGTTCTGCTCCCATCATAATAAAAGTATTCAGTAAATGAGTTGATGTCAGTTAGACATGGCCAAATCCCGGGCCGAGCCGAGTTTGAAATAGTCGACCCTAAACCGACCCGTACTTAGGAACGTGCCGATTACACGACCTGAATCCAGGACCCGTCCTAAAAAAAATGGAAAAAAATTGTTCGTTGATTTCTCGGGCAGTCAGGGCCTAGCCCTGCCCGCCGCGTAAAATGTTACAAATACAAATACACGACTCTGAACCAGCCCGGTTTGAATCCAGGCACCGGCCTAGACCCGTTGACCACGAGTCTGACCGAGCCAAATTCGTGCCGATACTGGGCAAGGTGACCCGTGACCATGTCTAATGTCAGCTAATTTAGAATTTTCAAGACTTCTTGGAAAAAGAAAGAAAAAAAAAAACGATCTAAATAAGTTTGTGAGATAAGCTCAAACTTATAAAAAAAAGGAATTTGCACCACATACCATTCAATACACTTTATATTACATTCATACACCCAATAAATATTTATTTGCAACTCTACTAAATTTTGCATACTTAATTGCAGATATACTAGATCTTTAATTTTGTAAATTATAGAGAATATTGCCCTATTGAATGCACAATAATTTCCCAAAGATATTGTCTTATTGGATGCTCGTTCCAACTTCCACCCATTTCATTATCCCAGCGAAAAGAGGTAAAGTCTCTCTCTCTCTCTCTCTCTCTCTCTCTCTCTCTCTCTCTCTCTCACACACACACACACACACACACACACACACACACACACTGTGGAAGACGAAGTCACGAAGGTCAGGAAGCGGCACCGACGAGGAGAGGTTTCAAATTCTCGAGATCGATCGAAAGAGGCCAGAAACTAGAAGGCGAGCAATAGTATCCTGGAGGTGATCGGGCGGCTCATCGGCGGCAAGATGCCGGCGGTGGAGGGTGGGCGGGTGAAGATCGTACTGTGGAGGGAGGACCTGAAGCAGGTGCTGGAGGCGATCAAGGACGGCTGCGAGTTGGCGGGGCAGGCGGTGCTGGAGCAGAGGCTGAATTTGTTGCGGAGGAGGCAAGCCGCGAGGGCGGGGACGGCGGTCAAGTGAGAGGTGGAATAGGTCGGGGCAGTTGGAAGCCTGATCTAGAGAGCATACAGAAGGAGGAACTTTAATATTTGATTATTGTTATTTTTGTAATTTATGAAAAACTTGATGTGCTTGATTCGTAGATAGATAGTTTTCATTTTGTATAAGTTGCGGGTATATGTTGTGTATATATGGAGTATATGTTCTGTATAATATAATGGCTACCTTATATGTATGTATGGTTTATATTGACAAAGCATAAACTGATTTTTTTTTATATGTATGGTTTATATTCAGTATATTTTCGGTATATGATAAAGAATTTATCGCGAGACATAATTTTTATGTAGAAAATCTATTTATATTTAGCATAAACTGAATTTTTTTGTTGGTGTTGTGTATATGTATAGTTTTATATTAAGTAATCTGTTACAATATGTTTTTAAACTATATATATACTTTTATGTATAAAATAAAAGAAAAAGAAAAAAAGAGGAAGATATAATTTTTTGATGGAAGATATTTTTTTTCATTACAATATATACCACCCGACAACTGCATGAATTAAGGAATTCAAGTTGCACACATATACTGAATATATACTCACATAAACGCAATATATACCACCTGACAGTTGCGTGAATTAAATAATTCCAGTTGCACGAATCTATATATATATAAAAAAGTTTGATTATTTTTTAAATAGTAACTATTTTCCGCCAAATAAATGTAGTTTACTACTTCTGGAAATTATTTAAACATTTTATGGTATGTTTTAAATATACAATTTAGGTAATTGCGGCTAATTTATTAAGGTAATAAATCACATAAAAATTTTATTTGTATCTTAAGATATTCGTATCATATATCTATACATATATATCATATATTTGTACCTAAATTATCGAGATCTATCACATCCCTAACAAACATTAGATTTACTGATATATTTTAAAATTAATCACTTCAATAAATAATATTAATATACATTAAATATTTATCATTATATAAAACATGAATATTACTTTTATAAATGTTACAAATAATACTGACATTATACGACTAAATTTTTAAATAAAATAATATTAATGTATTATGATGAACCAAAATATGTAAAATTATTATTTTTTTGTATTAAAAATAAATATATATTTAAAATGTTATTTATATTAATATAAACGGATTAACGGGCTGACACATTATTAAAATAAAATTTTGCAAAAATATTTTAAGTTACGAAATCCCCAGATGCACGGGATTCTCACTAGTTAAGGAATTAAATGAGTAAGTTATTTATTTTTATTTATCTCTCTTATGAGTCAACATTTTTTTGTATGGTAACTAAAATCAAGTAAATCTCCAATTAATTTAATAGGTTTAGGTACATATGCAATTGAATTTATAGTAGTTGCGAAATCGTAAATAAATCTAAATTTTGTAGGATAGATGAAAATTTAAAAAAAAATAAAATATCAAGCCTACCAAATCACACTTGAACAAAAAAAAAAAAAAATTATAAATTAATTAATAAGCTATAAGCTGTTTTATGATAATTATCAAACCATAAATTTTTGTGTCATGGAGCCTAACAGGCTGTCAGCTTAATAATTAGGCTTGTGTAACACCGTTTATCTAGAGGTGGCCAGTCAACGCGACGTGACCCTGCCCGGCCCGGCGGGTAGGGCTCCCATGGGTGACCCTTAACCGGCCCGCCAAATATCAAGGACCGGCCCAGTTCCGGACTGCCGGGACAAAATAAAAAAGGACCTGGATACGGCCGTAAAGCCACGGTGCCGGTTCTCAGAACCGGCAACCTACGGGCCGGGGCCGGGACGGTGGTCATGTCTACGCCTATCGCTTGTCAAACACATCTAAAATTCATTAACTGAAAATATGAAGTCAAAACTATAAAGCTAGCAGGGTAGGGGGCCTTTTGGTAAATATCATCACATCATTGTACGGCTAAGAGTGCACCTGACCCTTTTATCTGACTTACCCGTGACACACTGTGGCCCGACATACATTGTCTCGCCCTTTCCACCCCTCTCTCCCCCCCCCATTTTCTTACTGAAAATAAAAACAAACACAGACCAATTGGATTGTTGAAAATTTCCTTTATTCTGACTTTCCAAGCTCTCAACTTAGATATTTCATCCTAAAAATCCCTTCTTTTTTTCTAGGGGTTTTTGGTTTTATCTCCTTTTGTGCATCACAACGTTCTGCCTTGGAGTAAAGGCCTCTTTGACTCCACTCACTTACACTTAGTGAAATAAAAACAAGATGTTATTTTCATGCAAGAAAAGATACTTTGTTTCATGTTTTGAAAATCAAGGTAGTTTCCTTTTTTTTTTTGTTTTGGTACAGGGACCTTCCGGTTTTCGGATCCACAGGGGAACCGATTAATTCAGAATCGAGCCGGGTAGGTAGTTTCCTTTTAACCACCCTACTGCTCCCTTTCCTAGTACACAAATCTCAGTTTCTTTCCAATTTTATATTCCACCCTCATTTGTTTCTTTTCATTTCTCATCTTTTTCCCCCTCAAAATTGGCTTCTGCAAGCAAGCTTTCTTTTGTTTTTACTCACAAATCTCCACAAACACCCAAAATAGACATCCTTAAACAGTGTGTAAGGTCCTTGACAAAAACCTTTCACAGTTTCTTTCAACCTTTTCAATCAAAATCCTGATAATTTCTCCAAAATATATACAAAAATAAATCCCATTTTCTTGAAATTCAAATCACAAGAAAGACTCTTATCTTTTTTTTTTTTTACCTGAAAGCTTCCTTTTTCTTCTCCTGCACAACAAAAATAATGTCATCTTCTTGTCTAAGTGGTGGCAGGGCAGCTGCATACAGACTCGAATTGCTCGACTTGGGCATGATCAAGTCACCATCTTCAACCTCTTGGATATCGAGTTCATCCTCGCCATCCTCGACCCTGTCCGAATCCAGCAACTGCCCGTTAGCCATCTCGACACGAAAACACCGAGCACCCAGAAAGCGGCCCAACCAGAGCTACGATGAGGCCGCTGCCATTCTCTCCACGGCCTACCCCAAATTGTTCCCCACCAAACACCTCACCAAGCTCAAAAGATCATTTCACACCAAAAACATCACGTTTCAGCCAGACACGTCCGATTTCCTCATGCCCTTTCAGCCCGATGACTCGTCGGGCTGTCTACTAAGGCCCGCTTTTAGAGAGAAGCTGCGAGGAAGGTTGGGCACCTTCCCCAAATCTTGCCGGAGCCCAGGGGAGACCGAATCGGATGTTTCCGGGATGATTGGAGACGACGGACGGGAGGATTTCGACGGCAAGTCGATTATTCTGGATGAGGAGATCAATTGCATCATGGGGAATTTGGGGGCGAGGAGTGAGTCGATCGAGGGTTTTGATATTTTTGATGAAATCAACAGTAATTATGTTGATGATAATTGCAATTTTACCCGTATCGGCGGTGTGCAAGCGGGCGGCTTCTGCTACGGGTACCCGGTGTGGCTAGGGTTTGAGTACGGGCCGGGCGGGGTGAGGAAGGAGACGAGGAATGTCGATGGAGGCGACAACTGGTGGAGGTTCCCGAGCGTGGGCACGGCTGATAAGGCGGCGATAAATTCTCCGGCGGAGAAGAAGAAGAAGAAGAAGAAGAAAGCGGCGGATATTAAGTGCGCGGGGGCGGGGCTCAGGCCCCGGAAGAGCGGAGGCGGGCTGCTGCTCAAGCTCAACTACGAAGGCGTTCTGAAAGAATGGTCGGACAAGGCGTCGCCGTTCGCCGGAGAGAGTGAGCCGGTCGCCGGGAATGACGTTCAGGTACGTCTTTTTTTTTTATATATATATGTATATATCATTTGATTTGAATTTGAATTACTGGAAAATTTGGGTCTTTTTTCATCAGTAAATAAATTCAAACTGCCTTCTAGCTTATACCATGTTTTTCGTAGCGCGCCACGTGTTGCATGATCTATCTATTTATCAATTATTTTAATTTTTAATTTTAATTATAATATTTTGAAACTTGTATATCATAGAACTAATAAATTAGGTCTTTATTTTTTTTTTTTTTTAATTTTTTTTAAGGTTAGTACTGCACATTTACAATTTCAATATTTTATTGGGTGTATATGAATTTTTCAAGTCATAAACAGCAGTTAATTGGGATATGTATATATATTTTTTTTTAAATTTTTGATGAGGTTTAATTTGATTGGTTGGGTGCAGGTGAGGCTGGCACAGATAGACTTGTTGTGGGACAAGAGAGGAATCCGAGAGGCTAGTGTGTTGCGGTACAAGGAGAAGAGGCGCAATCGTCTGTTTTCCAAGAAAATCATACAAGTCTACAAAGTCAACGCCGATCGACGGCCCAGGATCAAGGTTTGTACCTCTCATATATAGACATGTCCAAGAGTCGACCTTGCAGGACCGGCCCGGATTTACTGGTTTTTAAACCAGACCTTTAGCCTTTAATGGCCGGTTCCATGTCTTCATTTTTCTTATTTTGAACCGTCGGTTCCAGGCCGATTCCCAACCGAAAGGTGGATCATAATCGATTTTATTTATTTATTTATTTATTTAAAGTAAAGAACTGCGGTTCATTGAACCGTCGGGTCGGTTTCAGGCCCAGAATTTGGACTCGTCGATCGGATGGACGCGGGTCATGAACTGGCCCGGCATTTGAACACGTCTCATTCATACATACATACTTATAAAACAACAATAAATCGCACTTTCTTCAAATTTGTCCCACTTATATTTCCCTTTTTAGAAAATCTCTTGAAGAAAAATGAACCAATCTTTTTTTTTTTTTTTT